GTACCTGAAATTTTGAAAATTGCTTGTTCTTGCCTTACTACCCATTCATTCGGTTTTACCAGCGTAGATGGAGATTCTGAATGCCTATTTTAATACGTAACCTATATTTTACGCAGACTCTTGTCGTAAATTCGCCTAACTTGCCTGGGATAGGCTGAACTGGGACTAATGAATGTATACTCAATAAATAACGTTAAAATATTCTATAATTAAAATTTTACATTTTGGCTATTTTGTCTCTTTTATTTAGTCTTTCACTGCTATCCTGTATTCTATTAATACGATAAGTATCACTACCTTAAGTTTTACTTCATATGTTTTCTTATTTGGTGTTTGTGGCACAGGAGCGTTTGAATTCGCAGCTGGCTTGGAAGGTGTCCCAGCTTCAAGCAGAGCGTGATGAGCTGCGTGATTCTGTCCATCGTCTTCAAGCTGAGATAGCCGGGCTACGCAGGGCTCATGCTGCCGAGATCGAATGTATAAAGACGCGTGTCTGGTGCCAAGTTTGTCTGCGTGAGGCGCTTTATCACTGTTGCGCCGGAATCGCATATTGCTCTGAAGCGTGTCAGCTGGAACACTGGACGGCCAGACATAGCCGGGAATGCCGACGTAGTATCGAGGTCGCTTCTGGTTCTGCTTCGACTTCTGCTTCTGGGAATTCCGTTCTCGCCTCTTCTTCATCCAGCTCATCGTCGTCTTCTGCTTCGCTACCAGCCTCATTAGGACTTTCCAACTCTTTGGCCATGGCAACAACTATATTGCCATTACAGTCCAGTGGCTTAAGTGCCTCCAATGCAGGGCGATAAAATTTGCCATTATGGTTGCCAAACTCACTTTTTCCGAAGAAAGTTGTTGCTCCATCGTGCACAGGCACGTTTTGGCATATGTATATAGATATCTCTGTATATTTATGCATATTTGTGCGTACTATCTTATTTGTATCTCTCATAATCTTGTTTCGAACTGCGATTGATAGTCAGTTATCTAATTTTTTCCTGATCCTCTCGCCTTAAAATAACTAGCAGATCCAATGACTGGTTACCCTTCATTTAAATTCATTTTTTCCATGTGTTTCCTCTATTTTTCTCCACTGTTTTTTCACTATCACTTGCTCTTGGTTGCTCCATGAACAGATAAGTAGTTCATAATTTGTTTTACAATTAATTTTCATTTATCTATCTTAAGCAA